GAAACCTTTTCAACACAATCCAATATTCAGTCTAATAATGACACCATAGTCAAATAATATAGTAGGAGACTTACTGCCCTTGATAATAAATATCTGAGATTTAGAACCATACCAGGGCATGCTGAGGGAACACCAACAAAGGGATTCATGTTGGTGTCACCAATGGTCCAATAGACACTAACCCTACAACAGTCCCAATAACATTATCAGTCATAGGATACACAATTAATAAGCATATTCCAATGTCGGAAGGCTATAATCTCAATGACTATCCATCTGGACCAACAAATATTCATAATAACAGTAGCCTTCACAACCCCCAGGAATCTAAACCAACAAAAACAATGTAAGACGAACCTCAACAAAGCACGGGGCTAGGTGAAAAACTTCACCACAGTTAAATCACAGTCTATGTAAAAATGTATGGTATCTTGGTCAAGAAAACTGAAAGTCCAAATCTCAAATATTGCTTGGTTTGTGGATGGATAAAAGATAATGGCCAAGAAGTGTTAGCTAATTATACAGAGCAGAGTGCACATACACAAACGTAAAAAACCAGTTGACAAGCCAGAATTAGAAAATCCTGAAAGTTAATGACCATCACCTAATCCGAGACTAAATATAAAGTAAGGTGCATATTGCTAGTATATAAAGACTGTTAATAGAACAAGATACCATACAGTTGTTAACATTACAGCTAATAAACTATGGCTATAGTAGTGAGCGGTCTCCCTAACCATATTTCCACCTGGCGAGCTGAATAAATTACATTGAGGAGAGTTGGAGATTACAAGCAAGAACATCGTAACAGCCACTAGAGATTTAGTTTATTTTCTACCTTTGCGCATTACTTTGTAAAAGTCTTGAAACAGTTGCACAATATGAAATTATATACTAATTTTCTTTTGAGAACAATACAATAGGTAACAGAGGTCGTATCAATGTTTAAGTATCATATAATAGAAATAACTTGCCAAAGGCACATTAAGCTCTCAAAAAATACTACTTCCAAAACCATACACTATGAACTAAGCTGCTTTGGTAGAGATACCAATGCATCCAGAAAACGCATCAAGTTAACTAATAATTGCCATACAGCTAAAAGCTGCTTCAGTCGAGATCAAAACATCAATGATATACAATGTTAAGTAATAATGGTCAGTGTTATAATATATCATTAATAAGATCAATGAATTAATGCAAACTATAGTAAAAAGCATTGATTTATGCAAACTATAGTAAAAAGCATCACATGATTTACCAAAACAATTTTTCCCTGCAAATGAACAAATCAAAGAGTACATCAATCATGTATCATGTTACAGGGGTGAATCAGATCTAGTTTTATATTTTAATAACATAAATATAGAAAGATCCAACAGGCAATGAGAAGCACGGAGTATTCATCTAACAATCACATAAAGCTTGCACGTAAATTAACCTATTTTTATCAAACAGTCTATAAGATAAGTAGACTGTGCAACATACAGAGTGAAAAACCAAGTAGAAAAACAACAATTTTAAACACTAGACGAGACTTGGCATAACCAGACAGATATGCCTACGCCAAATGTGGCAAAAAGAAGCACCATTAACATACCTCGCCACTGATGATTTGATTAACCAACTCCTTTGCAGACTCAATTTGCTCAGGTGTTCCATCAATTTTCAATGTTCTTTCAGTTGATGTGTCACCTGGAGGAAGATGCAGAGGTATCACCTGAAAAAAAACATATGAACATTAGTCACAAAGAACTCCAGATAGAAATTTCCTAGTCATGGGAGTTCGAAGTTAATACAATCTCTTTTCAAATTATTATCAACGACAAAGCAACGGTAAAAATACCATAACAGCAAATCACGGATATCTAATGCACAAATAAGAAAACAGTGTTCTATATATAATTTATAAGTAAAAACCTGAATCCGTGCACCAGTAGAAGCTTGCATATTCTTTATGGTTTCTCCACCTTTGCCAATTATAAGGCCAACCTGACGATGCACACAATAAACATATCAACCCAAACAGAAAAAAAAAACAGCAAGTCTGAACACGGGAAACACTCGTGACATTGTACAAAGCATACACTTAAATCTCCCTTTCACACCTTATTATTCGGAATTCTCATGACAAATTCATCTGACCCAGCCTGTCCAGTCAGTCTTCGAGCAACAATACCAGAACCTCCAGATTCAGCCTGGTACAAAAATAGTTATAACCGTATATATTGCAATAATTAAACATTTAAGCAGTTCACTAGGAAGCAGTTCTCCTTGGTAAGATTATCGTAACATCAAAATCGGTGATAATCGAAATCTAATCCATCCATGATTGACAGAAAAAAAAATGAGAAGTATAAAATGTGTCTAACCTCAGCAAGAACTTCATTAATGAGTTTCTCTGCAGAGGCGATTGCCTCGGGAGTTCCCATAAGCTCAACGGTCCTGTTAGCAGAATTAGGATCGGCGTCCATATCGCGAGTAACTTGAATTTTGGCACCAGACTGCAACTGGAGATACTTAATGGTCTCTCCACCTTTGCCAATAATCACACCAACCCTGCCGTTAGGGATATCAATCTTCTTGCTCGTTCCTTGGTGACTGTAGGAGACGGGGGGAACGGCCGAGTACTGAGGCTTCGCATCTACGTTCACGGAAATCAGAGTTCATTAAACCCTAACATAAAAGAGAAGAAGAGTGGAGCAGAGAGGAATAGTTAGTTACCGTAAGAATCGAAACCGGAGGAAGGAGCACCGTTATCGGGTTTGGGACGCTTGGAGTCGAGCGGGGGAGGAGGAGTGACACTGAGGAGGCGAGCGGCGACTTCTTGAGCACGCTGTTTGGCGAGCTCGATGCCGGTGGCGGGGCCCGCAGAGAATCCGGTGGGTCTGTCGGAGGATTGGTCTTCGTACTTGCGCTTGAGGGATGCGGACTCCGTTCCCGATGAATACTGTGCTTCCTCCGCCATTGGCACAAACCCTAGTCACTCGCCTTACCTCTGTAGGGGGGAGCGAGATATTTTGCTTCGTTTATGCAACCAAAATCACAAGATGTCTTTTTACGTCATGCTTTTAAGAATAAAATATATTTAAAGAACAATTTTATTTTCGAATAATTTTAGTATATTTATTATTCATTATTTCGCTCCTTCGATTAGGCATTTTTAACATTTTCTTTCTTTTTTATATATAATTTTACATTACACTTTACTTTCAAAACTATTTTAAAAAATCCAATTACTCAAAGTATCGTCTCTTTTTATAAAAATATGTATGTGTTATGAGATTAGGCAGTTTTTATTATAAACGTAAAATAAGTTTATATTATAACTTCAGGTGTTAATTGTAAATGTAATTACCTATTATAATGTTTAGCTTTAATGTATTATAAATTAATATTATTTTATATTGTCTTAAAAATATTTATTTTATGGAATTGGAGCAGTAAAACACTAATTTAGTTGGAAGTGTAAAACAAAAACTATAACACGCCTAAAAAAAACTATTTATTATAGTTTCAAGTTTGTTAAAAAAATCTAGGATGGCATGAATAATAACGAGGCTCACGCCTATTTTATAATTTTTAATAGATGTTAACACAAAGAGTTTATTGTGTTAAGAAGGAATGATATATTTTTAAATACTTTTAAATTTTAAACAAAACACTCCAATCAAAAAAATGATTTTGATTGATATTATTTTTTAAATAATAAATAAAACTTAAAATATATGATAAAGGATTAAAAATAAGTTAAATTGTGCACGTTTATTTGATTTATTTTACTATTTTTCTTTCCAAGTTTGGTCAATTTATAAGCGAAATTATTTAAACTTAAAAATGGTGATTTTTTAAAAATTAGGAAAGCAGGATTTATTAAATACCTTAACATTTTTTTTCTTATTCTACTTATCTTTTATCATACCATTTATAGTTTCATTTTCCTTCACTGAACCAAACAAATAATGGTGGCATCACAAAAACATGTATTTTATTAACATTTACATGATTGTATTAAAGGAAAAAAAAGAAAAATAGAAAGCAAAATTATGTTAAATTAAAGACAAATGTAAAAAAATGAGAAATGGAGTGTATTATGTATTATCAATTATTTGTTTTATTTGTTTTATTATTTTAATGAGTCATTTTAGTATATAAATATAAATATTAATAAGAATAAGCTATACAGTATACTATGTCTTTGTTTATGTTAAAACATAATTAATTATAAATTGACGTAAATACTAATAATAATATCCTTTTTAAAACATAAATAATTACAAATATACGCAAATATTAATGAAATATTTTTATATGATCAAATTTATCTTAAATATTTTACAATGATTATGTCTCAAACGAACTTTCTGCAAGAAAAAAAAATAACACATGAAACGTTCAATGCGTACATTACTTTTATTTTTTATTGTTCATGTTTTTCTTTTATTCATCGACTTTTAGCTTTCGGCGTCTTGAAACAGTTAAGAGAACAGTGTTTTGTGGTTAAATGGTAATGTGTTATCTATCATGTACTAGTATTTTAATCAAAATAATATTATTTTAAGCAAAGTAACATATCACCCCTGATTAGGCTTTCTCTGAAAAAACCCTTAACATTTTCGCTAAATCGACTATCAAGCCACAAATAATCCTTTAAATAATATCATCGCTGATTTAGAAAGAAAAAGTCTTTCCTCTGACAAATCCTATATAAAAAAGCATATCCATTCTTTGAGAACTACAGAGAAAAATAGAAATGAGAACTACCAGTCATAGCTTTGTGGAAATTGAGCGTCATATAATTAAATTTCCAATGCAAAAGACAAATAGACACTTGATAAAAGAAGAAACCAAGCATACAAACGTGAGTGGGTCATAAATTTAAACACTTCTATTATATTTTATATTTGAAGGGGTGGATTGAGGAAAGGGAGAGCGGCAGATACAAGTTAGGGATGAAAATTATTTATTGGAACACCATGAGGAACCATTGGAGAGGGGAATTGGTCCAACGTAAAAACCGTAACTTACAAACCAAACATGAGTTTTTCACATATAGTTTACTCACGGGTTCAAATGAAGCATGAACAGATAAAAAAACTCAAGGGGAATGAAGCCCCCATAAACAGAGCAGATAGAACATTCAGAAACTGTGATAAGGTAATGTATCGACACAATCTCCATCTAACATGAGCACTTCTTAGCAAGGTAATATAATACCATGAATTTGCTTATTGTAAAATAGTTTGGCTGCCAGGAAATAAGCTTAGTCGACCTTACTTTGTCCACCAATGGAGGAAATCTTTGCGCCTATTGATCTTTTTCTGCAGCTGGAGGAGTCCATACAGCAAAGCCTCAGCAGTTGGAGGACAGCCTGGAATGTATATGTCAACAGGAACAATCCTGTCACACCCCCGAACCACTGAGTAAGAGTAGTGGTAATATCCTCCGCCGTTAGCACAACTTCCCATTGAAATGACCCATCTAGGTTCAGGCATTTGGTCATAAACCCTGCAAGAGTTTTTCAGCGTCATATATAAAATTCAATAAAGTTCCAAGACAATAATAATGTCGGAACATGGAATTTCACAGGGAAGGGGAGACATAAAAATGACTCAAAAATCAAATTGATAATGTTTCATGAAGATCAATGACAGAAAAATCCCAACCAAGTGCATGCATGTGGCATTACAATAGACGTAACAGCCAACATTATGATTTATGTTCTTCAAGATTGTAGAGAATAATTAGACCTCAAAAGAAAAGATTTTGACAATTGAAATAAACAAAGCAGTTGTCTTACAAGTGGCACAGCAAGCTGGCTAATGTTCATGGACAGACTTACGTGGGGAGACATTCGGATAAACCTACCCAGAGTTTACTTGAGCATATAAAAACAAATTGTAAGTCCCACAAACCTTTTTTAGCTTATTTTAATAACTTTATGAAAAAATCTGACATAAGTTCTCATGTAGTGTTTGAAACAGGCAGTCATGCATGATCTTTTTCATGCATGGAGGAAATATTTCATGATTCTTACTTTGGCTGTCTGATCAGGATTGCAATAATCTCATGCAAACAGACTCCCAAATACACTCATTCTGGTCAGAAGATGTGCCGATAGAGTAACTGGCTAATTAGTATCTCTTGCTTTTCGATTGCGTGAAATATGTTAGCTGGAAGAGGCTCTGGCCCAAATGATGCCTATTTTGGATTCTTATGATCTAGCTTAGGTTTCTACTTCCTAAAAAAATTCCCAGCTTCTGAAAAACAAAATAAGTCCTCGATGATAAAATCTTATAGAATTAGCGCTCAATTAAGTAGCTTACGGAAACTCATCATGACATAGTAATAGATAATGATGAGCAACCAAGAATATGTACTATAGCATAGAAGAAAATTTAAGTGAAACTGGCATACTCTTGTACACCTTTTCTGAAACTAAAGCAACTTAAAACCATTTTTATACTTTGTAGTTAAATGACATAACTGTTCACACCTCTCATCCAATGCAAGACAACTATTATCCCCGTAAGAACCTCTTTTCACATGCCGTGTCATTCAACCAAAGTTATTTCTATAACAACATTTAATCACGAAGAGAACTCTAGTAGCCATGACCTATTAGTTGGGTGTTGTTAGGAGAAAAGGAAAGGGTGGCAATGAATTAGAAGCAAGTGGAAGCAATGAGGCAAATAAATGTAAATGGGAAATCAGTCTGGGGATATGCATTATAAGTTTGCAACAACCAACAACCTGCGCACATGCCAGGTGGAGGCAGGATTCTAGTGAGGAATGGGAAGGTAGAAAGCAAGCCCCTTAAAGAGGTTACAGACTGCAGCTAGTGTGTCATTTCCCTATACTGTCTCTAACTCAACAAAATTTCTTCGTTAAAACAGTGTCCTTAGCAGTTTCCTATCAACACTGAAACAAAAAAAAAAAAAAAACAAGGCTACAACACCAAAACAAGAGTCAACTAAAACAGACTGTTACGAGACGTAGTTCTAGGGCGATAGAGAGAGCCAAACAACAAGAACACAGGAAACCCCAGAATGAAGGGATTCCGAAACTGATAGAAGAAGTGGCAGAATACAGGTATGTTTGTTATTATTCAGTATGAATATTTTTACAATAGCGAATTAAGATTTATATAGCTACTGTACTGACTGCTCAACAGTCAGTCCTAACCCCTGTACACTTATTTCATAACAAAGACANTTAGGAGAAAAGGAAAGGGTGGCAATGAATTAGAAGCAAGTGGAAGCAATGAGGCAAATAAATGTAAATGGGAAATCAGTCTGGGGATATGCATTATAAGTTTGCAACAACCAACAACCTGCGCACATGCCAGGTGGAGGCAGGATTCTAGTGAGGAATGGGAAGGTAGAAAGCAAGCCCCTTAAAGAGGTTACAGACTGCAGCTAGTGTGTCATTTCCCTATACTGTCTCTAACTCAACAAAATTTCTTCGTTAAAACAGTGTCCTTAGCAGTTTCCTATCAACACTGAAACAAAAAAAAAAAAAAAAACAAGGCTACAACACCAAAACAAGAGTCAACTAAAACAGACTGTTACGAGACGTAGTTCTAGGGCGATAGAGAGAGCCAAACAACAAGAACACAGGAAACCCCAGAATGAAGGGATTCCGAAACTGATAGAAGAAGTGGCAGAATACAGGTATGTTTGTTATTATTCAGTATGAATATTTTTACAATAGCGAATTAAGATTTATATAGCTACTGTACTGACTGCTCAACAGTCAGTCCTAACCCCTGTACACTTATTTCATAACAAAGACAAAACACATAATCATTGACCAGATTAAATTTCCCCGAAATGCAATTTAGTCACATAAATTATCAAATAACAGGCATCTGCCTTCTTGAACACCGAACACAATTTATTTAAAATTCTCCAACGTATATATAACAGCATTCAAACAAAGACGTGACGGCATCGACGCCATATCAAGTCAAATTGAATACTCAACCACGCACATATGTCACACACAAAGCAAATCAGTGCATCGGGTGAGGAATATGATTTCTAATCTACTGTGAGAAGGAACAAAGTGGAAAACAGATTAGGGAAGTAAAAACCCTAGAAAAAGGGATAGAGGATTTACTTGCGAAGAGCGGGAGCCATCTTGTTGGTGAGAGTGCCTGCGACGATCATACAGTCAGACTGGCGAGGGCTGGGCCTGAAAATGATGCCGAAGCGATCGAGATCATAGCGGGCGGCGCCGGTGTGCATCATTTCGACGGCGCAGCAGGCGAGTCCGAAGGTCATAGGCCAGATGGAGCCACGGCGAGCCCAGTTCATCAGATCGTCGACCTTGGAGATGACGAACTCCGCCGCCTTGGAAACGCCGACGGGAGATGAAGCGGACGGAGGCGGTGGCGGAGCATATGGTGTGGGCGTGTGTGTTGATGTGGATGCGTTGAGAGCTGGGAGCGTGGTGTGGAGAGATAACGCCCGTTGATGGGAGTGCAATTGATAGATGCGTGAGGAGGCTCGACTGAGAAGAGCCATAGTGATGTTGCTATGAGCGAATGAATCGCACCCAGCCTCCACGACTCTCTCTATATATCCCTGTCCACGCTCAAGCCAAACCTTTTTTCTATTTTTTAGAAAACGGTAGAGACATCGTTGACGAAACTGCGTACCAAGGCTACTACGTGGCCCATTTCAGCTTCATTCCTTACCTTTTTTTTTTCTTTTTCAAATTACTATTATTTCATTTATTAAATTATTAAATAACAATTCAAATTCACTACTTCTTGAGAGAAATTCAATAATTTTACTTCTTACTACTTCGTTCGTATAAATAATGTGATTTATTTGATTAATTGCATTTTTTTAACTATTTTTTATTCTTACTTTTTAATTTACTTTATTTTTGTCTAATTATCTCTATATATCATTTTAATTCTTTTTAATTTTGTTTAAGCTCGATTATTTGAAGTTTTTCTTCACTTTCAATATGCCACTATGAGATTAAAGAAAACATATTACACTCGTAAAATAATAATTACGGTCACAGACTTGCTACAAAATATAATTTAATAATTATTTACTACATTTTCAAAATTAAAATAAAACAAAAATATTGATATAGAAAACTAAAAAAACATTCATATAAAAAAAAGTATAACTAAACCTAATTTATTCTAGAATGTCTCTTGCCTATCATCTCAATTTACATGTATTTTGTATGACAAATGTATATAAATACTTTTGTAAAGAAAAACAAATAGTCATTATAACAATGAAATTTTAGTTTGGAAATTATAATTATGTTTTTTTATTATTATAAGATGAATTTGTATTTATTTATATATTAGAGATGAGTCTTATATTTAATTAATGTAAATTTTTCAATCCTCTTATTATATCGATACATATAAACTATATATTAATAGGTTATCCAAAATGGTCCCGTAAAGGTGAAACAATAGAATCTCTAAATTTTTTATTACTTTTTACTGTCATGTTGACGGTGTCTGGTGTTTCTACAGGATTTAGAACACTTATCCAAAACATTAAAAGTTGTTTGCTCCATCATCCAGTTGCGATGTCTTTTCTCTTTTCCTTCTCCAAGCCGCGGGGATAGCCTGGAAAAGACACTTCGACCCTGAAGTCAGTGACTTTTTGTCATAATATTGTAATAAAGATTAGTTATCAAGGTTCAAAATTATTTGTCCTCCTTTTCAGATAAATATTTATAAATTATGATGAGCTTACTATTAGGTCTAACTCATTAATCACCAATAAATGACATTATTCCTATTAATTGTCAATAAATGATAATTATTTTCATTAACTCCCCGTCAATGGCAGTTATTATTATTGATTACATTAACGACTGTTTTTACCTATCAATTAACTGTTTGTCCGTTCGGTTCATTGGCCTGAGAGGTATCATCGGTCTGCCATGAACCCAAAATAACTTAGAGGCTCTTTTGTACCTTTACCGTTCAGTCAATTATGAGCCCAAAATAACTTAAAGACTCTTCGTCACATTTACCGTTCGATCGTGAGCCCATAGTAACATAAGCCCCCAAGCCTTAACGTCACATAGAGGTGAAACAATAATTTAGTGGGTGTGATCCTAAATTAAAATATTAAATAAGTGAAATATGGAGTATTTTATCAAAATTTCGTCTGTTTTAAAATAAAAGATGAAACCTATGTTATGTTTTTTTTAAAAGAAAACCTAGAAAAAGATAAATATAAAAAATTAATTAAAACAAACAAATCTTAAGAAAAAGTCACACGGATCTTTGTTAAAAGGAAAAAAAATAGAGATAAAGACGGTGTTTGATCTTCTCCAACCTTTGATTGCAGTTAGTTTAAGAGTTAACTATTTGATAAATTATATTTATAGTTACCAGAATTTCATCATCATGATTAAAAATATAAATAAATTTTAACCAATTTTGTTTATTTTAATACTTTTTGTGATAAAAACTTTGGAATTNTGTCAGATAAATATTTATAAATTATGATGAGCTTACTATTAGGTCTAACTCATTAATCACCAATAAATGACATTATTCCTATTAATTGTCAATAAATGATAATTATTTTCATTAACTCCCCGTCAATGGCAGTTATTATTATTGATTACATTAACGACTGTTTTTACCTATCAATTAACTGTTTGTCCGTTCGGTTCATTGGCCTGAGAGGTATCATCGGTCGGCCATGAACCCAAAATAACTTAGAGGCTCTTTTGTACCTTTACCGTTCAGTCAATTATGAGCCCAAAATAACTTAAAGACTCTTCGGCACATTTACCGTTCGATCGTGAGCCCATAGTAACATAAGCCCCCAAGCCTTAACGTCACATAGAGGTGAAACAATAATTTAGTGGGTGTGATCCTAAATTAAAATATTAAATAAGTGAAATATGGAGTATTTTATCAAAATTTCGTCTGTTTTAAAATAAAAGATGAAACCTATGTTATGTTTTTTTTAAAAGAAAACCTAGAAAAAGATAAATATAAAAAATTAATTAAAACAAACAAATCTTAAGAAAAAGTCACACGGATCTTTGTTAAAAGGAAAAAAAATAGAGATAAAGACGGTGTTTGATCTTCTCCAACCTTTGATTGCAGTTAGTTTAAGAGTTAACTATTTGATAAATTATATTTATAGTTACCAGAATTTCATCATCATGATTAAAAATATAAATAAATTTTAACCAATTTTGTTTATTTTAATACTTTTTGTGATAAAAACTTTGGAATTTAAACAAAACTGCTCTCAATTAAAAAATTAGAATAATTGCAAAAAGTGATAAATAATAATTGAACAGACTTGATTAAAAAATTAGAATTTATAAATAGTACATGTAAAGTTAAAGTAATGTAACAAAAAAAATGTAAAGACATGACAAAAGTTAATTTGAAAGAAAAAATTATATATATATAAATATAATAGTATTATTAGTGTCGCTTTTCTTTTTATACTCCACATTTTTCATTTTCTTCTGTACACTCATATTTCATTGTGATGCTCATTATAATCCTATAAATTTTTGTTTATTGAATTAGAAAATCTGATTATGTATTGAGTTTTTTTTTTTTTTTACTAAATTTCGAGTACAAATGAAAAAAAAAACAGTTGAAGGATGAGGCAGAGTTTCAGGTGACAAGGGTCTCAAATAGAGTTTTAAACTACAGTCAAGGTCAAAAAGTCAAAGCTTAAAAATTGTTAGGAGTAATTTAGGGATATGTGAAAGTATGGGGTGCAGAAAGAAATTTGTGGAGTGCAAGAAAAGAAACTCTGTAAAAAATTGAACCAAAACAAACGAGACCCCCTTTCCTTTGGAGTGAGCCCAGCCCAATTACATGTTTTATATAGTAGTTGCTTCAAGGTCTACGCAATGTTCTTCTGCTCTTTCTCTTCCACACTTTCTAATTTATTTCCCTTTTCAAGCATGTGCAGATACACAAGTAAGTTGACTTCTAACATGGTTTTTGATTTAGGATAAGAGTGTATTATTATGTAAAATAAAGATATTCCTTTGTTAACGATAAACTCTTCTATCTGCAAACACCTTGTTGATTTTTTTCTTATCATTTCCAAGTTCAAAATTTCTCCTGATCACATGAACCCTAAGTTCAAAAGTGCAATTATGAGAGAAAAGCAATTAAAGAATGAATGCAATATAGCTAGGAAAAATTGTGAGAATTATTAGTAACATGTGGTGTCCAGGAAGCAGGAGTAGATGGGACAGTAAGATCTCGGGATTGAGTTTTAATAAATGGTATTGAAATCTGCAACCTCTACATCTGCTTGCTCCGAGATCGGCACCACGTCCTTGGAATTCTCTATGGTTATTAATCACTTCTTTCTGAATTATGAATGGTGTTTTGTTTTGGAAGATTTTATATATTCTGTAGACAAATCCCATATAACACTATGTTCTTGTTTCCTTCTGTTACTGGTTTCTCCTTTTGCCACTGCCTTTGCACTGGAAATGTTTGAAGATACTGATGATGACTTGTGCTTCCTCTTCTTCGGACAAATAAATCACACATGTCATTCTGTTATAAAGACACTGCTGCTTTTTATAAAATTATCAAAAAGGTTAATGATTTTTAATGAAATTGTGGGAGAAGAGTATGATTTAATTGTTAATACATTCACCATGATAGGTTTAAATACAACTTTTCACTTCTTATAAAATGATTTAATTTTACCATTAATTTTCTAACTTTTTTTGCTGTCCTTATATTAAAAATGTTTTTTTTTATGTTCAATGTTACATTGAATACTTTTTGGTTTAATGTCTCAATAGGTCCCTATTTTTGTTGAGAATTTGAAATAAGTCTCTTTATTTTTTGGCGTCTCAATTGGGTCCTTATTTTTGTTAATTTGATGCAAATAAATCATTTCCGTCAATTTCATCAAACGGCGTTAATGAATGTGTGACGTGGCCTGAGGACAGTATTGACACGTGTAAGGTCACGTCACGGAAAGGATTTATTTGCATCAAATTAACAAAAATAAGGAGCTAATTGAGACGCCAAAAAATAAAGGGACCTATTTCAAATTCTGAACAAAAATAGGGATCTACTGAGACATTAAACCAATACTTTTTTTTCATGTGTTGGAAGAAAGGTCAGCTGACTATTTCAAGTAGCATGCATACTGTTTTTTAGTGCAGTAAGATTTAACATTAAAAAATGAGTAAAATATGTGCTATTTATTCATTTTAAAAAAGAATAATATGAATAAAAATAATAATTTTAAATTTTGGAAAGATACAATGTTGAAATAAACATTTTAATAAAACAGCCACTAAAATCTTCTAATTTTATATAAGGAGTTAAAAACAATAATTACAAATTAGAAAATAAAGATAACAATTAAAAAAAACAATATTTACTTATTTTTACTGTGATTACAAATATACTCAAATCACAGATCATATACTATAATTTTATATAATATACTTTTTTAACTGTTTTTAGTATAAATAATTTATTATTAAATTTTTTATTTATATAACTCATTTTATTATTTTACATTTTAGATTTTATAATTATTTTTAAATTCAATCAAGTAATAAAAATAAAAAAGTATGTTTTATTAAAAAAAATTATTTT